TAGATCAGGTTGCTCAGAGCCCCGTCCAACCTGACCTGGAATGTTGCCAGGGATGGGGCATCTACCACCTCTCTGGGCAACCTGTGCCAGTGGTTCACCACCCTCACTGTGAAAATTTTCTTCCTTAAATCTAGTCTAAATCTATCTCTTTCGTCTCATTTATTTTACCAGGTACTGCTTTATTCAGTTGAAGTTTAAATCCAAAGCATTTATTCATTGTATTTTTTTGACATTTTAACTAGCTAGAAATTGGAACTAGTTAGAAGACAACTGAACTACTAAAGTAATTAGGGGTTTTTCACTTAATACAATAATAAATAAAGAATGCAATTTTGGTTTTGGTTTTAGGACTTGTAAAGTTGGAAGCTACAACATTTCCCTTTATACTGAAAACTTAAAATATCTGATAACAATTTAAAATAAAAACATGAAGTGTTTTTTTAAGCTTTTATGAACAATGTTTAAAACAACACTGAAGGAATGAAGGGCTTTTTACAGTTCCTGGAACTGCTATAGAGAGGAGCTGAAGAAACCTCACTTTGCACATGCCAATCTGTCAGCGTCAGCTTTTTTGTGTAAGGATGAGACTTTGTACAAACACGAGTCAGGAAATTCAGTTATTTGGTACCAACAGCAACTATAACTTAATACCCAGGAGTCCGGTGGAGGAGTTACTATGAAACGTTTTGTGTTCTTAAAGCATCATAAAGTATCAGTCAGATCATTTAGCCTATTTTTAAGGGTGCTTTCTTTTTTTCTTTCCCCTCTCTTCCCCCAAAATTGAAATTCAGACTCACTTTAGCAAACTGAATGTGTTCATTTTTGAAAGCAAATGTTTGGCTTTGACTTTGCTACTTCATAATGCGGTAAATTTAACTGCATTCAGTTCCCTTCATATTTTAAATCACATTATTTAGTATAATATGTTTAAACATGGCATAGTTCTTACTGCTTGTCACTCTAACTTTTATCAGCAGCTCACAAACGTGTACTTACCACAGACAAACCTATGCCAGTGATTATAAATCTGGTGGTTGGCTGTGAGTACTGCTCAGCACAGCACTCACCAACACCGTATATGCACTTCTGCTACATTTCCTTTTGCCCCTTAGAGTTGTCTTTTGCTGTGTGGGGCACTCCGAATATGTGGCAACAGCATCTCCTAACAGGAAGGTTGGACTCTGTCCTGTTCTGTGCATAAACTGAACCGTTTGATTGGGTTTGGGGCTGTGCATAGATATTTGCCTGTGGCACATGGTCATTCTTTTCATAATGGTGCTGAAGCCCAGTCAACGCATTACCTTTTCAGAAGTTCAGTGCCAAAAGTTTTGAACTTGTCATCATTTTCACTTAGCTGTTCAACGTTTATTGTAAAGCGACAATTTACTTGTAGTGTTCACGGAGGTCCTGTCTTGAATCTTTTTGGTGTTCTGGAGCTACTTGTACGGTCTCTCAAACGCTCGCTTTCTTTTCCTCAGTATCTCACCGGAGCAGCTCAGATGCCTCCCAAGCACTGCAGTGGTTCTTCCTGGCGTTAGGTGCTTCTCTGCAGTACCTACAATCCTGGTGTGCCTTGTCATGTTCCTAACATAACTCTACTTCATTGCACAGTTTCTGTACGTCTCCCTGCTTCTCTAGCTCTTACATACACGCTGTATCTTCATCTCAGTGCTTTTCCCTGCAGAGCTTGACTTACGGAATATTTGTCTCCCGTACGAAAATTTTCCCTCACTTCTCTGCCGAGGTGACTTGTGTTCTCTTTCATGGGGGCTGGGGATCTTGTTAAACCTTCCCCATGGCTAGCTCCATCCCACCGTGACCAGACTGCCTGAAGTCCTGCTAGCCTCATTGGAGGTCCCTGGTCTGTAGCTACACCACGCTGCAGCCACGCCTGACTAAGACTCAAAATCTGCCACAAAACTATCTAGAGCCTTGCTTATCTCCATGCAAAGCTACAGTGAAGGATCAAGGATTATCCTGCCTGGGCACATAACATAACAATAAGCTAATCTTTAGGTTTAGTTTGTTTGCTTTCCTGCCAGCACAAAATAGAAAATGCAAATCAGAAAACAAAGGCAGTGGGTATAGGACTCAGCTTATCCCGTTGTGGACAGATGAAAAGAGAGTACAGGGGAGAGAAGGAGGTGTGGACCGTAGGCTGAAAAACGGAATTGGGACAGTGGAACAGGAAGAATGACGTGGTGAAGCAGAAGCGTATTCCCTTGTTGAACTTTGAATGCTTCAAGTTCCTTACATGTAAAACCTGGGAGATCGGGCACACCGCTTTGCTGGGGTCACTATGCAGTGCAAGGAGATCTGAAATTATCTGCAGGAAGTCTATGGAGAATCCTGTCTTTACCCCAACATTAATAGAGTGCCATCTTTTATTGCTCTCCTGTATTTCTCCTCTTCCCCTATACACATCCCTGTTTCTCCTGCTTGTCAGATTTCACCCATCTAAAATCTGTGGCCCTAGACTTTTCCTGAAGCTATTACAATGTGCTCTTCTCAAGCCTGTGGGTAGATAAAAGCTGTGCCAGCTACAGTAGCTTCTGGACTGGGCAGACAGTTCTCTGCTTGTTCAGTTTGGTTTGCTTTGCTGGAGTGTGGTCTTGCGAGTGTTTAAGTCCACAGTTACATTTTTTTGCAACCTCCAGTCTGATAGCAGAGCTGATGACCTTTTGTTTAGGAGGACAGCATGGGCTACAGGGTATACATTATTTTTCAGACACAGATTTTATTCATTTCACTGCATTAACATAAAAAGAGGAAGAAACATAACTCCAACAAGAAAATAATATAAAATAAAACACAACAGTAGAAATATCACAGTTATAGCAGGATTTGTATCACGCAACTAATTTATGTTTTAATATTAAAAAGGTGCTTTCACTTTAGAGCAGTAAAAAAGTACAAAAGGAAGGAAAAATACTATTTCCAAGGAAGAAAGTTTACTGTTAGGATAGTTTTTGGTCTTTTCTTTAGTCTATCTGTGGCTATTAATATCACAAGGTAGTGGCCAGGTTATAATAGCTGACAGGATAAAAGCTAAAAACTAATAGAAGCAGTGCCTTGATGTTTTAAGGCTAGAGGGGGAAGAGTATTTGCACCACCCAGATTAAGGCATCTGATACTTAAATTAAGAGGCTGGCATTTCCAGGCTCCTTCTACAGTCAGACAGGTAATCTTCCCCAGAGGCCATTTAAATCATATGTCTGCTTCTGACTCGGGCATCTCTTTTTCTTTACTGACCACTGAGGGACCTTGAAAAGGTCTGTTGTTCATTTAGGCTTCTGAGTCATGTGCCTAATGCTAAGCAGTGTGGAATCCTCTCTGGTGTCCTTATGTTGCCTGGAGACTAGTTGAACCTGCCCTGCCAGGTTTCCCTGAGCAAGGCTTTACATCCCTTTGAAGTAAACGGGGAAAAAAGCAAGAGAACCGTTCACTTGCATAAAGGAGCGCTCACCTGCATTTCCTTAGAGTTTGGAGCAAGAAGTTCTTCACCATCCCTCTCCCTCTTCTTTACTAACATCACATCCCTAGAACACCACTTTCATTTACAGGGAAACTCCTAATAATGGCATAAATGTATGGCCACAGGACACCAGTGGACCAACGGTCTCGAGTCTTCAATTAGCATGCAGCTCTAATTGAGGCACCAGTTGGCTATGGGCACTCTTCTCCTTCAAAGGCAAAGTGGGTCTGTCTCCTCTGCAGTTGGCTGCTTTTGCAGTTCCAAGGCTACCGTCTCTCTAGGAGTGTATCCCAAGCATCAGACTCACCGAGCATGTTTTTCTCACGCGGGAGCCTAGCCTGACACACTTACTGCGTCTGCCATGTAAAGTCTTCCCCTACACACATGATTTACCTGTCCAGAACTAGGGAGGCCTCCACTCAGTACAGTGCTCATGGTCTCCAAAATCCTTCAGAGGGTCCTGATATTCCTTTCATACAGAATCTTGCATACTGAATACCAAGGTAATTTTCATTCGGGCCTTGCAGATCTTTGCTGATGTGCTTTTATTGGCTAAGTGCTGTTTTCCTGGGAGGGATATGATTTGTCAGAAACAAGCTCATGGTTTTTTGGAGGTGCAACGTTGTCTTGCTGTGCGGTCAGTAGACTTGATGTGCACAGTTACTTGCAAAATTGCACCCACAAAAATCACAATTTTGCCCATTAAAATCCTACTTTGGAAAATGTTAGCAACTGAACAGTGATACAGCAGGCAAAAAATTAAAGAACTAGAATCAAAATACTATAACTTAGCCTATAGTCAAAAGGTTTATGTTTAAAAATGACTACACTATTAGCTAACAGATAAATCCTTGGGTTAAATGTCCCCAGTAAGATAAAGGTCATTCAACTCTCCCATTAGAGGAGAGATATTATCTTGATATATCTCATATTCATTCTCAAATTCCTTTTTATGGAAATGTCTGTTATTCATATGGGGAAAATAAGAGGCGGGGGGGAAATGAAGAAAACTAAAAGCCTCCCCCTATCAATTGCCTGACCATGTCGCAGAAAGAATACAGTCACTTCCAAAAGCTGTTTCATCAATGTTGAATACTAAACAGGTACATAGATCCTCAAAGCTTCCTCCCAATGTTTATCTTAAAACGTTCACGTAACAGTAAATGGCTCTCATGAGATGACATATTACTCCTTAGTCTCTTCAATATTGTATTCTTCCCAGGTAGATCTCACTAGAATTTGTTCATTTTACAGAATTTGGGTCAAGAAACAGAATCATACTATTCTGGGCCCCATTTAAATCTTGATGTGATTCAGCTATGGCATTAACATTTCCTGGAGAACTCACTGATTCTCTTAATTTAAGAATGGACAACACTGTAACCCCAGGGAACAGTTAACCACAAGAATTGAGGGTCATACGGTTTTCAGTAGTGGTTGATAATAAAGATGTTAAATAATATCAGGCAGTCCTTAAGGCAAAGTGAGCAATGCAACATTTACTAAGTAATGTTTTAATATATTTTTACAGTCCAGTAGAGATGTCATGCTCTGCAGTGGATGGAGTGAATGTGGAACTAACTCTTTCTAATTTTTCATGATAAAGATTTGGACATTTTTTGCAGAGGTGGGCTGCAACATGCTTTCGGAAAAAGGTGTAAAGATATTTCCTAAATTTTTCTCCAACAAATGCATAGATCACAGGATTGATACAACAGTGGATCATTGAGATTGTTTCTGTCACCTGGACTGCTTTCTCCAGTTGACTTTTGATTTCACAATTTGTGTCGAAAAGTGAACTTTGATATGTATGCAAAAAAGAAGAAATGTGGAACGGTGTCCAGAAGATGAAATAAAAAATCATGATCACGAAAATAAGTCTGACTGCCTTCTGTTTTTTCTCATTCTTGCATCTCAATAATGTTTTTAGAATTTGTGAGTAACTGAAAATCATAATGAGCATTGGAACAATAAGTCCCAGAATGTTCATCTTTAAAATATAGGAGTACTTCCAATTTATTGTGGCTTCACTTGGATAATGAGCACTGCAAGTATAACGTGAATTTTCCTTTTGAGTTTTGTGAAATACTATCCCAGGAACAGAAGCAAAAATAGCAACAGCCCAAGTGACAATGCTGGTGAGGATGCCGTAGGTAACTGTCCTAGCTTTTAAAGCAAACACTGCATGCACTATGGCCAGATACCTGTCTAGGGTCAGCAGGATTATGAAAAAGATGCCGCTGTAGAAGCCAAGGAGGTAGACACCTGAGAGAATCCTACACAGCGCCTCCCCAAAAATCCAGTCGTGAACAGCATAATAAGCCCAAAAAGGGAGAG